GAGAGAGAGAGAGAGAGAGAGAGAGAGAGAGAGAGAGAGAGAGAGAGAGAGAGAGAGGAATTGACCTCCGTCTGTTTGTCATTCAGAGGAGGATGGAGCAAGCATACTTGGTGGTACTGCTTAGAGTTTGGCCATTTGGTACAAGTTACATACAGGATGCAAGGAATCTGTCACCCATCACAGGTATCAGAACCACAAGCGTCATAGTAGGGGAATAGCACCCCGGATTAATCTACCAGCTACCGAGCTTTTGTGGATGGGACTCATGGGAGCAGTGCGGCGTCTACTTTGTCTACTTCGTCCACTTCGTCTAGCGTCTGAATCTCGTGGAGTGGATGGCCTTAACATTGACCCCCTATCACCTCAGACTTAGAACCCAGCCATTCTGGCTGCAGCCACACACTCTGTGTGTGCATCGCCATCCTCTACAGCTATTAGCTTGAGTGTGAGCACTGAGCAGGTCGGCAGCTCCGAAAAACACTCTTTGCCTCCGCTCCATCCATCGCTGCTGCTTGACCATAACGACTGCCGCCTCTCCCACCCGCTTGCTGCACGAGATGCTGCCTTCCGAGTCTAACTTAGCACTTCTTCCATAGGAGACTGAACAGGAGCTTAAACTTTGAGTCCGACGAATCGAGCCCGACCACGGCCTTGCTGCCCTCCACGCGGACCACATGCTTGATGTTCAGGTTAGGCGTATCGTTGCACTGGCTGTACACAACCGTAAGGAACTTGTCGGTGACCTCGAAGTTGCCTGTCCGCGGGCCGGCGAATGTGCGCGTTATGGTGGGCGTCCCGGTTTGGCCAGAGAAGTAGAACTGTGTCTCGTACACGCCCTTGGAGTCCTTGGCGATGTCGGTGAACCCGCGGCCGGTGACCGAGCCCAGCGTGACACTCCAGCTAGGAGGATAGTCCAGCGACAAGGAAATCTGGCATGTCTTTCGCTGACCCAATAAGCCCGCATCCGTCGTGGCAATCAGATTGCCGAAGATGAATGTGAGAACGGTGTAGTCGGGAGAGAGCACGTAGGTGCTATCGCTCCAGCTGCAACCGCTGCCGCCGTAAGCGACCGAGCTGATGGTGACCTTCGGCGGGCCTGCGAGGGCAGGCGTGGCAACACTCAGGATCGTCACGACCGACAGAGCCGCCATGACCGCCATCGCTGGAAGCAAGTTGCGCGCCATCGCTCTCGTCCTCGCAAGCTGCAGCTTCAGCACGCCGTTCGATGGGATGGGTAATCTCCGGCTTGATCGTCTGCCGCTCTTCGCCGCTGAAGATGCAGGAGGAGCTCTATCGACCAACAACACTCCGGAGCGGAGGATGGTGTCGACAGCGACGTCCCACGACACTGATCGCCTGTTCGAGACACTCCCGTGCGCTCCTACTTCGAGAGCGAGCGTCGATTGGAAACTGTAAACTACTTGCCAGGGGGGCCGTCGGTGTACTATATATATACACTCGTAGCCTAACACTCGAAGTGTTCCGTCTGTGTACTATATACACTCGTAGCCTAACACTGACAAAAACAAAACAACAAAAAACATGGGGTAGCCTCCCCTTAGGAATGTTCTATGTTATGCCAGCTGCCCAGTCGCGGGCCCAACTCCCACTTCTCCCAACTGTTCATTCCAGACCGCAGATTTCATAGATAGACGACCCGAAATGAACGATTCTGGAGGGTGGGACTGGGCCCCGGAAAAACTAAAGGCCAGCCAATTCAATTACGTGTCCAATCTGGACAGTGGACAGGACGGCCTTTCAGGCCATTTTTATTGTCATTATACGGCCGGAAAAGTGAGGAGCTGTGCATTTCTTTTCCCGTCTTTTCTGCAAAAAATAACGAGGTTCATCGGGACATCCGTTGGAATGGGAACAATACAGAGAAGATTAGCATGGCCGCTTCGCAGGCATGACACACATAGATCGAGCAATGGTCCAAACACGAACGGGCCAATCTCAGTTGGTATACCCCTGAACTGTTGAAATACAGACTCAAGTTCAAATCCAGATGCCTTCAGATGTAAAGAACAAAATCATTCTGAATTGCCTGGGGCCTGTCAGCCAAAGACGATACCACCAGTACCTCAGAGCCTGTTTTGGCAACCCTGATATTCAGTGCGCTCCGAGTTTTGCCGAGCCTGGGTCCCACTCCATTTCTTTATGGTACTCTCACGGGAAGAACAAAAAAAAAAAAAAGAAGAAGAAAAGTTGGGGCCGTGAAAACTCACAAAACAAGAAAAAGAAACAAAGCTCTGGGCATGATTGCAGCTGTATACTCTCTCGGAAGTGTTAGTGTGAGTGTGCCCTCAGTGAGGTCATCTCAGCCCCGTGGCCAGGTTGTCAGATTCCAGAAACTCAAAAAAAAAAAAAAAGACAGGAACACGGATTCCGCCGTGAAAATGGCAAGATACATTCCGGTAAGTGCCAGTGTGATCAGGGTTACAATCCTCTGAGGGAAAACAGCTCGAGCAGATCACGGATTCAGATTGTCAGATTCCAGAAAAAGAGAGCAACAAAAAAAAAAATGGAAATACGGACGCGCGGCCTTGAAAACGGCTGGATACATCAGGGTTACAATCATCTGAGGAAACACAGCTAGAGCAGATCACTGATTCCGCCCTGCCTCGTTGGCAGGGGACATATAACAAACAAAAGAGAAAAAAAAAAAAAAGAAAACAACAAGTTTCAGAATGTGACCGTCTTTGTTGTAAGCTGCATTCAAGTCTGCGAGCACGGCCTCCTTGACTACCCTGCCCGACATCATTGCAGTACAAAGGCCTTTCTCTTTTTCCTTTTCCTTTCGTGCACGGGCAAAAGAAAAGTATGATTTATGGGACATTGCCGACCCTGTGTCCGACCCCCGAAAAGTTCGGGTACTGGCCCCAACAGTGGGGGAGGTACTGGTGGAGTACCACTATTAAGAAATGGTCCGAATTACTATTAAACACAGAAAAAAGAAATGGTCAAAATTACTATTAAACACAGAAAAAACGCCAAGGTATGCCGGCCGGCACAGAGCGAGAGCAAGCGAGCGAGCCACAGACAGACACGAAGTCCGACGAAACAGTCCGGAACTGTCATGCTCTTTTTGAGCGTATAGAAAATATGACAACACAGAGAGAGAGAGAGAGAGAGAGAGAGAGAGAGAGAGAGAGAGAGAGAGGAAATGTGCGTGGCAAGGAGCCCTTCCTTTACAAACCGTGGAGGACGTACCACTTCCATGAAGTCGTAGACATCGATGTTGCTTGTCCACGATGAATATAGCCCGGTTTCCGTCTAAGTGGGAGCTTGCCCTGGTTCTATGTGATCGCGCCTTTCTCGTGGCGTCAAGGGGCTTTTCAATAGCACAACAGCAGCAGGCATCATTGATTGGAAGCTCATGGAGCAGAAGGCATCATCGATTGCTACTGTGATGCGAGGCATGTTCTCCTCGAAGTTAAAACACATGCAGTGTCATGGCCAGCCCATCTGTCGGGTTCTCTCTTTACACCCTTTCGTTTCGTGGAAATTGCACCTGTACCGCACTTGAAAATGGGAATAACTGCTAAGGCCAGGTGAGTTGATCGGTGCAGTGATTACACAGTAGTGACACACATGCAGCAAGATAGTCCAAACAGTCGAACACAGCATTACCACTTCATTATCTCAAAACGCGAAACGACTTCGAACTTTGAAAATGCCGAAAGAGAAAAGCATGTCGCTCGTGACATCCAATGAACATACGCGTGACCCGAGAGTCAGCGCATACTGGCGGTCCCCGACGCCGCATTTCGGCTGAGGCCAGACTCAGCCATCCTCCAGGGGAGTACGTTTCGACATTCGAAGAGGTCTCTTTTATTAGCTCCTATCCTATTAATAGTACCTATCCATATGCCTGGCGGCGTCCGTGTACTAATTCCTATCTGTAACTTCTCGAAACTACCCATGTTCCAACTTGTTAGCCCTGGTCCAAAGACAGTCCCTCGTCCTATTCCCTTACAGCTTCAGACAAAGGCCAAAAAAAAACAGAGCAACAGATGCAGGTACTAGGGTCGAGCCTGAACATAGGCACCCCCATCATGCAAAATGACAAAATCCCGTACTACCTCAGACAAAAACCAAAAAGCATGCAAAACGACAAATGCAAGGTACTAGGTTTGAGCCTGAACGTGAGCACCCCCATCATACAAAACGACAAAATCCCGTACTACCTCAGACAAAACCAAAAAGTAAACAAAACGACCAATGCAAGGTGCTAGGTTCGAGCCTAAACATCGTCAGGTCCGAATGTCAAATGTGACCCTCCTTGCTACCTTCGCCCAGTCAGGCACGCATTTTTGTACAAAACACCAAAGAGTGCGTTAGAACATGTCCGTTGGGTAGCATCCGCAGTTCGCGATTCAGCGAGAGCAGTCCTTCTTCTGCCAGTTCAGCAGAGGATGAGCATTCCTTAATCCTGTGCAACATCTTGTTGATCAGCATTCTCTTCTGCTTCTGGCACGTATAGGACCCAAAATCTTGAAAGCATCTGTACACTAGCTTCTCACCTCCTTCCCAGATCTCTGTGAAGTTCTTCGCTCTAAACCAAGTAGACACATTCCCATCCTCAATCCTGATCCTGCACTCGAGAAAGCTCCACCCATTCGACCCGTCATCCGTTTTCTTCAAGGATAGCTTCGGATCGTAAAACTTTTCAAAGCGATCAATAATACTTTTTGCTTTCCCTTGGTTCCTCTCTCCCACCCTTGCCAGACAAACAACGACACATCGTCGACCAGCCTAATCCCTTTCACTAATGACCGGTCAGAACCTAGACTCGTCAGAAACTCGCACTCATAGAAGGCACATAAGATGCAGGCGATTGGAGGGCTACTTGATTTCCCCATAGGGACGCCCTCTTTTTGCTTAATCAGTTGATCAGAAGCCCACACGAAGGTGTTATTCAAATCAAAGCTCACCATCTCCCTGATCTTGTCGATGTTCACCTTCACCCGTCCTTCCTCACCTCTCTTGCTACCAAACGAGGCGCCCTTCCCTCTTGACTTTACCATTACGAAATCCTTCCCTTTCTTTGCGAATTCCTCCAGAATCCAATCGACTGCTCTTCTCACAGACTCGTGGGGAAGCTTACTAAACATCTCTTTGATGTCATAAGCTACCCCCAAGAGCTCACCATTTTTCTTCCTCGCCGACCATTTGTTGACTTCTTGAATCCTAGACCTCGGCAGATTCGTAGACTTCAGGTTGAAGTGACTTCTCTTCGGAAGGGAGTACAGGAGGAAGTTGAGAGTCTTAGCCACTCTTTAATTGGCCATCTTCGCGGGCTCTTGAAGAGATGGAGAGATTGGCCAAAATTTTGAAGGGTCTTTGTGTTTGGGTAGGACATACGCCCTTCCCCATGACCCTTTATTATCCCATTTTCCAATACTTTTCAGCCCTTTCTCACCGTATTCTTTCTTTGCTCGAATCATGACTTCCTCTTCCTCCCTCCACACCGCATCAAACGCGGTGTTGCCCCAGAACATCTGACGCACTCCCTCCTCATACACAACTGGACAAACAACCATGGTCTCCGCAAAATTCTTATCAACAGGGAAAAATACCAATCATTTTCATTCCCCTTTTACATTTTCGATTTCATCGATCTAACCCCCTTCTCTTTCTCGAAGAACATCCACCTCTTTTTCTTCCTCTTCCGTCTTCCTCTCCTATTCTTCTTCTTTCTGTTTTTTTCATCCCTCCATCCATTCACATTTAGCACAGAACACCACCATCTAATCAGCCTTTCTTCCAACCTCCCTAGCTCGTTGCCCTCCGCTATTGCCACCGGAACTGCCACATGGGACTCCCATCCCCATTTCCTAAGCCATTGATAAAGCTTATTTTTTTGAGTCGCACAATCCGACAGCTTTCGTTATATATGCTCTGACCACCGGTCGCTCAATAGCCTCTCAGTCTTACCTATGTAGGTCGGTCTACACCAAGGATCCAGTAGAAGGTACACACAAGAGCTAGGAACGTCCCACTTACCCTTGGTCTTTTCGAAGACGTCCCAAATATACTCAACGTACTTTCTTCCCCAGCTGATCTCGTTGTCCAAAATCAGGAGTAGGACTACATTCCTTAAAATCCTTTCTATAAGAGGCATCAAACTCCTAGCACTGCGATTCAAATTACACCATTTCCGACACTCCAAAAATTCCAACAGGGTACTCCATCCTTCGGACTTACTCGTCTGTCTTCTCTTGCGGATCTTGAGATTCGCCCCTTATCTGTTCCTCTTCTTCAATCTTGCTTGATGTCGAACACGACGTCTTCTTGCCCTGATAGCAGTACGTGACACGTAACTCAGACAGTGTGTCCACGGCGTCATTCACACCGTAGAACGGTCGACC